CCACTGAGCCATCTCTCCAGCCCTATATTCCTTTTTTCTAAACATAAAGTATGTTGTAATTGCAATTGGCAGTATTACTCTGTGGAGTCAAATTTTATATTCCTACTCTCACAGCATAGTTGGTGGAAGTTTTGCAAGGACTTTGAAATCTAGGTCATTAATTGACACATGAGGTACCTCTTTAAACTCTCACTCGCATAAAGCTTCTGTGGAACTATTTTGATGGCTATAAGAGTGATAAACAATTTGGATGCAGTGGGGCAGGCCTATAATCTCACCCATTTGGAAGGGTGAGGAAAGAGAAATGGAAAGTCTGACCCTCTCACAAAATTTCAGAACTTTTTTTTTTACTTAAGGCCACGTGATCTAACTCACTTGCCAAACAAGCACAAGACTCGTGTTCAGCTTTCTTCTTTGCCGTCAGCGATGTTTGCCCTGCCTTGCCCTGGCCACCAAACAATACTCAGTGTTGATGGAAAGGATCCTCTGGTATTAACAATGTAAATTGATTTTAGCAAGGAGCGACATAAAGGGATTTAAAAAGTGATAAGAGGAACATGATATTTTTATTTTTGTTTATTTATTTTTTCATTGGCAAGAAGTAAAAATGGTGCTTTTATTATGTCTTATTTTCTTAAAGGGAATAGGGACAGAATAGGGAATAAAAATAGTGTCTTGTTTTATTAAACATATTTTAAATAATGACACATTTAAGCTAGCCTTAAGAACAAACTACTTTAGTGTAATCCTATTTATGTACAAAACCCTTAACATATTCATACTCAGGTTAACTGCATAGAAAAAAAGCATGAAAGAATAAACTCAAACACTGATAACCCCGGAAGGGTAATAAAGGGAGATCTTTTTTATTCCATATTTTGTATATTTAAATTATTCACAACAGAAATGTACTTACAGATCCCACACAAAAATTTATTTTTAGAAGGCCTAATGGGGGTCCACTGAAACCAAGCCATCTATCCATTGTTTGCAATTAATCAAGGCCTCTATCATTTCAATGAGCTCTAAAAGTACTGACAAATAATTTTCAGTTTTTCTGCTTTACATGTGCTGATAGTTTATAGTAATCCCACTTTCGCACTCTTAAGTTAATTCCACTTCAGTGCAATAATAAGATTTAGATAATGTCTTTTATATCCAAACATAGAAATGAATATATTTGGTACCAAGGGACACTTGTATTGCTATCTCTTGCATTTTAGTTGCCACTGAGGAAGTAGTTTATACTCATTGGCTACCCACAGAAAAATCTACTTTTAAAAATACATAGTTTCTGAGGCCCCTAATCTGAAGATGTTGAGCCTGTAATTATAAGGGAAATAAACATTCTCTAGAAATGCTTTGTCTTAAATCTTGATCAGTGATTATATAAATGTGTGCTTTAAAAATGACATTCCTTAGAGAGTAATTACAGAATACACTCTCACAGAATGCAAAAACTGAAAATCAAAAGTATTTCTTTTCCTTGAGGGGCACTGAAATGATTTTTATGATTTTTAAAAACATTAAAAACAATGTGTAAGCTGGTAATAAACACCCATTTTCCAACACTGGTGTTTTATAGTAGACAATTATCCTTGGAAACAATACATTGAAAATTTCAATGCAAAGACTCAAAACAAATATAATGTGATGTTTACCAAATCTTACCAGTGTAGTTTGTGTCTACCATAGCTTTTAAAATAGGGCAGTTTCATTATACTGGCATACTTGGCACACCAGGTTCATATAGGAAACTTTCTCAAGATTTTAAAAATGGGGCAACACTGGTCAGCATTTGATACATGAATATAGTACACCTACTGAAAATCTTTCCATATGTCATGAAAACTTGGAGGCAATTTGTTTAGTATGAAATGTCATTTTAGAATGTTATGCACAAAAGGGACTTTTTTAAGAACAGAAAAGTGCAATTTTCTGTGTTCAAACTAAAATTTTAGAACATAGCTGGCTTTTAGTGTTACTTTAACTAAACCATCCTTCAAGCTCCAGAGTATATGGGGCCATAAAATCTGATT